CAGGCTGGTCTTGAACTCCTGACCTCAGGTGATTCGTCCACCTCAGCCTCCCAAAGTGTTGGGATTACAGGCGTGAGCCACTGCACTCGGCTGATGCCATTGCTTTGGAAAATAGCCCAGCAGTTCCTCAAATGGTTAAACATAGAGTTACTATACAATCTAGCAATTCCACTCCTAGGTATATACCCAAGAGAAATGAAAGCATACATCCATATAAAAACTTGTACATGAACATTCAAAGAAGCATTATTCATGATAGTCAAAAAGTGAAAATAATCCAAATGTTCATCAGCTATTGAACAGATAAACAAAATGTTGTATATCCTTATTCAGCAATAAAAAGAAACAAAGTACTGACACATGCTACAGTGTATATGAACCTTAAAAACATTTTGTGAAGGAAGTGAAGGTGAAAGAAGCCAGACAGGCGGTCAGGTTATATGATTCCATTTACATGAAATGTCCAAAATCAGAAAATCACTATTTACAGAGAGTAGATTAGTGGTTGCCTATGGCTGGAAAGATAGGTGAGTAAGAGGCTGACACTAGGGGTGCAGGGTTTCTTTTTGGGGATAAGAAAATCTTCCAAAATTGATTGTGTTAATGATTGCACAGCTCTGTGAATATACCAAAAGCCATTGAGTTGTATATTTATTTAGAGACGGGGTCTCACTCTGTCACCCAGACTGGAGTGCAGTGGCACGATCATGGCTTACTGTTAACCTTGACCTTGAATTCCTGGCCTCAGGTAATCCTCCCGCTTAGGACTCCCAAAGTGTTAGGATTACAGGCATGATCCACTACCTCTGGCTATATACTTTAAATGAGTGAATCGTATGGTATGTGAATTATATCTCCATAGGCTTTAAAAAACATGTCATCATTCCATTGTACTATTTTGCATTTCTGGACAATCCAACTTGGACCGAAATGCCCCAGTTTTAACACCAGACTTCACACCTGAGCAGAAACATTGTATAAGTAAGACAGAGGTAGGAAACTCTTCTTTGGTATTGGTGTCTTGATGAAAGAACCGTTTCCATTTAATGGAAAATAAATTTCTATGAAAGGAAATTTATTTATTTGGCCAGGCATAGTGGCTCACACCTGTAATTCCAGCACTTTGGGAGGCTGAAATAAGAGGATCACTTGAGCCCAGGAGTTCAAGACCAACAGCGGTTAAACTGAATTAAGCTGTCCTATAATGTAAAATATGGAATTCCAGCCAGGTGCGGTGGCTCACTCCTGTAATCCCAGCACTTTGGGAGGCTGAGGTGGGTGGATCACCTGAGGTTAGGAGTTTGAGACCAGCCTGACCAATATGGTGAAACCCCATCTTAAAAAACTAACTAAATAAATAAAATATGGAATTCCAATGACTTCATATGGAAAAATAAAAGAATGTTGACTAATAAATTTTTATATTGAATATATACTTAACTGATAATATTTTTGATATTTTGCGTTAAATAAAATAAATTATTAATTTCACTGGTTTCTTTTTACTTTTCTAATGTGGCTTGCACTGCGCGCATGGCACTGGTATAGATACTCCTTTCCCTGTCAGGTGGATTATCTGTGTCATGCCTGTGGCTCCAGCCCAGGAACAGGGACCTGGCACAGAGAGGCCTTGGTGAACAGGGTGTGAGGGTGCACATGCATATGAATTAATGAATGGATGAGTAAATTCATAAATGAGTGGGTGAATGGATGGATGAATGAGGATTACATATTGTTTTCAAGTAGTTGGTAAATTTCTTCTAAATTGTTGAGGATTACATGTGAATACACAAAAAAATGAAAGGGGAAAAAAAAGGTATGATGGCTCATGCCTGTAATATCAGCACTTTGGGAGGCTGGGGTGGGCAGATCACAAGGCCAGAGTTCGAGACCTGCCTAGCCAACATGGTGAAACCCCATCGCTACTAAAAACACAAAAATTAGCTGGGTGTGGTGGCGGGCACCTGTAATCCAGCTACTTGGGAGGCTGAGGCAGGAGAATCACTCGAACCCAGGAGGCAGAGGTTGCAGTGAGCCGATACCATGCAATTGCACTCCAGCCTGGGCAACAGAGAAAGACTGTCTCAAAAAAAAAAAAAAAAAAAAAAAATTAGCCAGGTGCAGTGGTGCATGCCTGTAATCCTAGCTACTCTGGAGGCTGAGGCAGGAGAATCGCTTGAACCCGGGAGGCAGAGGTTGCAGTGAGCAGAGACCACACCATTGCGCTCCAGTCTAGGTGACAAGAGCAAAACTCCATGTCAAAAAACAAAACAAAACAAACAAACAAAACTGTGGGAGGCTCACCAAGACTTTGAGTCAGGGAGTCTCAAAGAGCATTTTATGGGGACTTACTTAATGTAAAGGCTCAAGAATCAGGACCCTTGTCTGACCCTTTTTTCCCCCTTTTAAAAAAGTACTTCTGGCCAGGTGTAGTGGCTCACACCTGTAATCCCAGCACTTTGGGAGGCTGAGGTGGGCGGATCACCTAAGGTCGGGAGTTCAAGACCAGTCTGGCCAACATAGTGAAACCCCATCTCTACTAAAAATACAAAAATTAGCCAGGTGTGGTGGTGCACGCCTGTAATCCCAGCTACTTGGGAGGCTGAGGTAGGAGAATCACTTGAACCCAGGAGGCAGAGGTTACAGTGAGCCAAGATTGCACCACTGCACTCCAGCCTGGGTGACAGAGCGATACTCCATCTCAAAAAAA